ATTTCTTACAGTTATGGAGTCTAGGAAGTCCAAGATTAAGGCACTGGAAGATTTGGTGTTTGGTAAGGGCTCAATCTCTGCTTCCAAGAGGGTGCTTGAATGCTGCATCCTCCAAAGGAGATGAACAATACTCTTCTCATGGTAGAAGAGCAGAATAGAGCAAACCCATTCCCATAAGCCCTTTTTATTGTGAACATAATCCATTCCTGAGGGCAGAGCCCTCATAACCGAAACACCTCCTATTAGGCCCCACCTCCCAACTCTATTGCATTGGGGATTAAGTTTCAACATGAGTTTTGGAAGGGACAAAAATATTCAAACCATAGCAACCCCTGTTTCCAAACAGATCAAGACTATAATCCTCTTTGTCGGTCTTCCAGGTCTACCTTATCCTCCCTTTGCATATTCTGTTATACACTCAGATTGGCTGTTCCCTCTACAGAAAGTCCATTTTTGCTCCGTTTCCGCTCTCCCTCAACACACACACACACAACACGCAGACACACACACACACGCACACGCACACAAATGGAGCTCCTCCTGGAAAGTCTTACTGCTCTTAAGAGTTTGGCCACAAATTATCTAAGCTTTGAGGCCAATCGCACCAAGCCTCTTCCTACCTTTTTCCTTCCGTTAGAATGGACATAGTCCTTCCCTTTTCCCTTATGATACTAGTACTTCTCAGGTCAGGTTAAGTTGTGATTTGATCATAGTGGTTCAGCGGCCAGCAGGAGAGATGAGGACAGAAGCTAAGCGAGGAAACTTGTCTTGTAAGGCAGATGGCAAAATACTAGCCTCATGAAAGAAGTGGATGCTAGTCCTTAATTGGGAGAAATGGGTTGGGTTGCCAGTTTAGCAAAAAGAAAAAATAAATACAAAGATACTCAGTTAAATTTAATTTCAAATAATGAATTTTTGAAGTATAAGTTTGACTAAAGTATTACATGTAACATATTTATTACAATTAGCTCTTTATCTGAAATGCACGTTTAACTGGGCATTCTGTATCTTATTTGACAATCCTAGAGCTCAGAGGGTTCAGGTGAATGTGGGATGAAGATGAAGAGATAAGTCTCTTTATATGTCACCAAGGATGCCTTCTGACTTTCATGTTTTGCCCTAAATTGTCATTCATTTTCTCAGCTTTTTTCTACAATGCATCAATGGCATCTAAAAAGTCAGCAAATTGTATATAATTGCCATTTCCCCTAATCATCTCAATTACTTGAGATATTACACTTGCATGTACATTCATTTCTACTAGTATTACTTGAAAGTTTTTAACAACTGTACTGCCATAGCATGCCAGGGACGACCTACTATCAGTATTTTATTTATTACCAATGACAGAATCCTTATTGCCTGCTCTGAAAATCCCATTTTAGGGTCTGTTCCTTAGGATCACTTCTGTTATCCCGTTTTAGGTAAGGTTCTAGGGGAAAATGACTATGAGATAAAAATTCGATTGCAGACAATTTATAGGGGCATGCTCAAAAGAACCCTTGTGAATTGGTGAGGGAGGAAAGAATAGCAGAGAAAGAATTGAACTGATATAATCACAACGAAGGCCTCAGCTGATCCTATGGAGAGTTTGGGAACTGAGATGACCTTTCAAAGTTGCCCAAAATTGAACCAGGAGGTCTGGCTTTTGTCTATCTACATCATTCCATCAGTGGATGCGGGCTGCATAACCTTAGAAGAGGCAGTTACCTTCAGATAAGGGCAGTTCTCCAGAATTTGGATAAGAGAGTGCCCCTGACCCGAGAAGGTATGGCAAGGGGTGAGGAGTGGTTCTGGGCAGCATAACACAGCCTCCATTTCAACAAATTTAATTGTATCTCTGTTGGCTTTTTTATCTATTACTTTTATCGATCCTTAGTGTTTTTTTGTGTATGTGTGTTTATCTTCATTTTCCTCTTCATTTCTCTCATTACCAGTTTCTACTGTCATGTATTCCCTCCAAGTTAATCTTCACTTTTTTTTGTTTTTATTATTATTTCCTTAGTCCTGTCGGTTTTTGTTTCATAGCCTTCTGTTCTTTATCTCTGGGTTCTTTTTCTGATTTATACTGTTTCAAAGGTTTAAATGTTTACTTTCTTTCAGCTCATTTAGAAATACTATGTCAGAGTTTTTATCTGCTTTGTGTGTGCATGTTTCTGTGTGTTCACATCCTATGGGTCTTGTCTCTTAAGGTGTTACACTCACCTTTTGATGTTTATTTTGCTGTCATCATACTTTCTGGGATTTGATTTCTCTGGATTCTTCCTCCATCTGCTACTATCTGAACTTTCCTTTTCCTTTACCCACAATCTCTCTTCTCTGTTCAATTTGATTTCTGAAATAAGCAGTTCTCTTTCTGTATGTGGATTTTTTTCTTCTGGAAGAAAACAAATGCTGGATAGTTGTGAAATCCTTAAGGGACTAGTTCACCACAGCTCTCTCTGATCTCTTGATGATTCTGTGCAGTTTTCTTATCTGTCATTCAGAACCTGTGATCACTTCTTCCAGTGTTTCAATTGCTCTCAAATCTATTTTCCCAGTTTGGTGAAGAAATATTTTGGTGATATAATCAAGGGGAATTGCTTATGGTCTAATGTAGGAGAGAAGAGATTCTCAAAAATGGTTTTTGGCTTAGGCAATTAGATGGTTTTACAGAAATAAGGGAAACTAGATGAACAATTGGGAATGACAGAAGGCGGCATTTTATTTGGCTATATTAAGTTTGCAGCACCTGTTAGATAATCATGTAGATAAATCAAATAAATAAATCTTTGAACTGAGAGAAAATGGTTTGCTTAGATGTCCTTTGGGAAGCCTTTTCTGAATGCCCTCTTCCCATCACATTAGCCTCATTACCTTCGCTACCCACAGCATCATTCATCACTTTGATTGAAGCCTTTATAACTTATTTTGTAATTGCCTGTTTATTGGTCCATTTCCTCTGTTGGACTGTGAGCTTTTTGAAAAACAATCTGTGTTCATTCTTTTTTCAGGTTCCTTCCTGGCACAATGCTGACAGTCAGCTCTTATTTGTTCAATGCATGCACACAAGACAGTCAATTCTATTTTTTTCTACAGCTCCAATTTTTGAAAACTGTTTTCCAAATTTGCCCAGTACTTGCCTCCCTGTATCTTCTACCCAGTTCAGGATTTATCTCTGTAGTTAGATACTTTTAACTTGTTCCACATATTCTCTTATATATTTGACTTAGACCATATGTGATTTTTATGTCTGGGTGAGCATATTAGTCTTTCAAATCAAACATGTAATAAAATCCTCAACATTGTTTTCACATGTATCTTAAATTATGTCTCCTCAAATATGTTTTTGTATTAAAATACCCAAATGTAGGATTTACTATTTATATCATTAAATTTCATCTTAGTGAATTCAACACTTAATTCCAGAAGTGGAGATCATTTGGGATCCTACACATAAACATCTTGACTTACATATACTCTCACCTCTAAGTGCTCAAAGGCAGAAAGAAGTTGGGAGCATAACAAATGTGCCAAAGTTGGGCTCCAGACCCTTTCCCCACCTTCAACCAGAAAATTATGTATTTAGGTTAATGTAAAATTTGTTTTATAGTGAGGTTAATGTCACATTTATTTTTGGCAAAAAATTGTTTTAAAACTTTTGAAAACCACTTTTCTAGAGCAAGTCACTGGTGCATGTCCCTAGACTGTAATCAATACCACATCCTTTTCTGTCTACTCAACCCATCAACAATTTAAATGGTTTTGATTTTTGAAGTTTGCATGACTTATCTACTATAGATAACAAATGGGTGGATAATTTTTATGAATCATTGTATCTATTTTTAAAAGATCAATTTTTTATCTTAGTGAATATTCTTATATAGTTTTGAGTCCTCTCCAACTTTAAACACAAACTTCTATGAAAGAATTCGTCAATTTAACAGATGTTGGCAATTCAATTTATCTTATCTTGCACTTTGTGAAAAGGTGCTGCAGTTCTTGGTGTGCTCAAAAATGGTAACTGGCCAATTTGTGCTTGGTGATTCGCAGTCTATGTATTCTACTCTAGTTCTTATTTCCCCTCTCCTTTCACCAATACAACAAATGTGTTTAAAATGGGGGATGATATTCTAGCATAAAATAATCTTACAAGTCTCATGGAAGAAAATTTGATTTGGGAACCATCTAATTCCACTTAGGACTATTTTTTCAACTAAGTATACACCCAATTAATCATATTATGCTTCAGCTCACACTTACTATTTTACTTAAATTGCGAAGAACAAAAAGTTATTAAATGCCTTGCCCAAATGCAGACATGTCACCTATTAAATGCCTTGCCTAAATGTAGATATGTCACCATTTAGATTTATTTTGTTATCTTTAAAAAATAGAGACAGGATCTCACTATGTTGCCCAGGCAGTTCTTGAACTCCTGGACTCAAGTGATTCTTCTGCCCCAGCCACCCAAAGTGCTGGGATTACAGGCATGAGTCACTGTGTGGAGCATAAATTTATTTTTTGTTAGGATTAACACATAAAGAGAATACAAAGCCTATTTTTTCATATTCCTGGTGATTCCAAGTTGGATTCTGGAATCACAGTGTAACTGAGACCAGAATCCTGGAATTTGCATTCACAGGCCATTGCACTTTCTACTATCCCATTGTGATCCTCAAATACTTAGTGGTACTGCTCACAAATAAAGGGAGCACCAGTGTAAAAAATCTGTCAAAATCAAAAAATTCAAAGGTAACACCCTCTGGTCCTCTACCACTTACAAATTCTTCCTCCTTCGGTTTCAAGTATCTAATTGGTCACATTTTCCTAACCTTAAACTGAGTTTGAGACTCAATATCGGCTTCTATGAGATAAGATGTAGAAAATATAAAATTATTACAATTTCACAGTGTGATCTCCCCAGAGGTATTAAGTGCCAAGTGTTTAATTATTGCCTCTCCAACTCCCAAAATAATAATTTTGGATGGGAAATGATCATTTACATAAAACAATATGTAGAAATTAAAACACTTTAATATAAACATTTCCAGAATATAGACTGACTTTTTATATCAGTACTTTTTGAGAGCTTTTTAAAACTATATATCATCTAAGTTTATTATAGACTGTTTCATTTTTCCACTTTCAGAACTAGAAAATGCAAAAATACACTGCAAATTAGATTTAACAAAGAAAAAATCAGTTTTAAGTTATTTCATACATATTCCTTGGAGAAAGCTGAGACACATAAACACAGAAAAACAACAATAAAATACCACCAACACTAACACAAAACCAAGCAAAGAATTGATTTTGTAATGCTTGGTAATTCTGTCCTTTAAAATAAATTATCTCTCATGAGTAAATAATTCACTATCACAGCAATTTGACGAGCAGAAGTAGAGACAACTTCATTTAGGGAAATTACATTATATGTGAGATATGTGAGAAACATTTAATAATGTTTTTTCTTTTTTAAGAAAATGAAGGAAAGTAACTTGAGGAAAAGGCATATTGAATACTTTTACTTCACTTGGCTTTTTTAGAGATTTAAAGTAGCCATCCACCTAGAAAAATTCCAATAACATGAATTTTATAAAACCAAACTTTTTTTTTTCTTCAACTTTGAAGGACCAAAACTAAAAAGTTGAAAATCCTACAGTAGATTCATCCCAAATCACTGTCTCTTCTGTCTTGAGTAGGTTTCTTTTTCTCTTAAGTTCTTGTGTTCTCATGTTAGTGTTGTTCAGAGGCTAGGTTTAGGCTTTTTGTTGTTGTTGTTGTTTCTTCAATTAAATTTCAAGTTTTCTTAAATAGCTTTCCTGAAGTGACACTGACGTGTCCACCTCTCCTTTTCTTCATCTGATCTTCTTGCTTTTGTCTAAGTCCAGTTTCTTAGCTGATTTCCTCAATTAATCCTTGGGCAAACAAAACTAAAAGTTCAATACCCAAGAGTAGACTCATTCCAAAACACAGATTCTTGTCTTTTCTTTAACAGGTTACCTTTTCTCTTATGTTCTCCTTGAGTTCTTATGTTCTTTCTCAGAGGTTAAGTTTAGGCTTTTTTTCCTCCTTTTAATTCAATTTAAAATTTTATACAAAAACTAAGTGTCCTGAAGTGACACTGACTGTATCTACCTCTCCTTTCCTTCATTGGATGTTCCTTTTTCTAAATCCATATTGTTTTTTTTTTTTTTTCAATTCAACCTTGGGTAAACAAAGCTAAATATTCAAAATCCAAGAATAGACTCATCCCAAAGCATTTCCTCTTCTGTCCTTTCTTCAACAGATTTCTTTTTCTCTTTCCTGTGCTTACGTTCTTCTTTCTCAGAGGGTACACTATGGCTTTTTTTCTTTTTTCGATGCTTAAGTTTTCCTGAACTGACCCTGACTCTATCCCCCTCTCTTTTCCTTTGTCTGATGCTCTTGTCTTTGTCTAACTCTGTATCTTCATAACTCTTTTTCCTTTTATGTTTGGACAGCTCTTTCTCTGGCCTTTCTTTGCCTTCTTCCAGGTGTCGTTTTCTCTTCTGATGTTTCCGTTTATGACCTGCTTGATGGTCAGTAGTATTGTTTTCTGAGGAGAGGTGCCTGTAAACTTCAGATTCTACACTGTATGAGCCAGAGTTATTTTCTTGCTGATTAAGGCTCAAGGGTACTGGTTTTTCTGGGAAACAGTCTCTGGTGAGTTGCCAGTAGCTAACAGAATCTAGTCTCTGTTTGCTGTCATGAGCTGGTAAGCAATGAGGTAACTGGTTTTCCACTACTTGTGAAATACTGTATGGTCCTGAATAGGTCTGGAAAGTCTCACATGGGAGCTTTTGCTCCAACATTCTGTGTCTGGGTCTGACATCAACCATTTCTCTGTTCTTATGTATTTCTACAGAGCTATCTCCTATCTTTCTGAAACAAGTTTTTGGCTCTAGTCCTCTGGCTTTCTGCACTTTAATGTAATCTTCAAGTTCATCTTGGAAAGAATCATATGTCCTTTTTGAATGGGTTGGTAACCACTGAGGTAATTGGCTTTCCACTGGTGAAATATAGTATGGTCGTTGGTAGGTCTGGGAAGCCTCATGTGAAAATCTTTGCTCGCACATTCTGGATCTGGGTCCAGAATCAACCATTTCTCTGTACCCACGAGTATCCACAGAGTTCTCTCTCACCTTTCTGAAACAAGTCTTTGGATCTAGTCCTCTGGCTTTCTGTACTTTGATGTACTCTTCAAGTTCATCTTGGAAAGAGTCATATGTCTTCTTTGAATGAGGTAACTGCTTTTCCACTGCTTGTGAAATATTGTATGGTGCTGGGTATGTTCGGAAAGTCTCAAATGGGAGTCTTTGTTCAAATATTCTATGTCTGGGTCTGGAATCGACCACTTCTCTGTATCTGTGGGTTTCCAAAGAACTCTCTTCCATCTTTCTGAAACAAGTCTTGGGCTCTAGTCCTCTGGCTTTCTGCATATTGATGTAATCTGCACACTCATTTTGGTAAGAGTCTTGTGTCTTCCTTGAATTCTTCACTAGATTGATAACAATGGATTCTCTGTAAAGAAGACAGTAGAAAATTCTTATTAGATTGTTTTATTCTAAGTATTTTCTTTGCTCTTTAAAAGTATTAGTCTGAAAAAAGAAAAACAACAAATACCCAAATTTTAAAAACCTACTTCATTATAAAAGCTATAAATTGTGAATTTTTATGCCAAAAAAGCAGCATGGACAGTGAGAACCTACCTCATTATAAAGCCATAAATCATGACTTTTTATGCCCCCAAAAAGGAGCATGGACAATGATATATCTCCCAGGTACCTCACAATTTTTATGCAAAAAAAAAAAAAAAAAAAAGAAATTTCCTCAGGCCCAGGATGAAAGGGAAGAAGGGTATAAAGTAGCAGATATATCTGATGTTGTCGTAGCACTAAAAATATTAAGGCATGTTGCAATGTTTGGGTAGGGAATAATAATATTTAATGTCCTGAGAGAGGCTCTGATTTGAATGTTATATCATTTTTAAAGTTTTCATTAATTCCTTATATATATCTTATAAATGTGATAGGTGTTTATTCTGTAATCTTGAGATTTTTAAAAATCTAAATTATAAATCTAGCCAGGTGTGGTGTGTGTGCCTGTATTCCCAGCTACTGAGGCTGAAGCAGGAGGATCTCTTGAGCCCAGGAGTTTGAGGCTGTACTGCACTATGATGGAACCTGTGAATAGCCACTGGACTCCATCCTGGGCAAGATAGCAGGAACCCATCTGTGAAAAAAAGGAATGTAAATTTAGGTTAATTGGGTAAGTCAGACAATTTAGCTTCTAAATATTCAGATACAAATAATAGAAATATTTTCTACTACAATAAAACAATGTAACAGAAAGAATATATCTTGATTTTATTTTATTCCTTTTATTTTATTTATTTTCTTGAGACAGGGTCTCACTCTGTTGCCCAGGTTAGAGTGCAGTGGTGTGATCATGGTTCACTGCAGCCTCAACATCCTGGACTCAAGCAGTCCTCCTACCTTAGCTACCCAAGTAGCTGTGATGATGGGTACATGCCACGAAACCTGGCTAATTTTTCTTTTTTCTTGGGTACAGGTAAGGTCTCACTATGTTGCCCAGACTTGACCTCAAACTCCTTGGCTCTTCCTCCCACAGTGCTGGGATTATAGGCATGAGTCACCAGACCTGGCTCTATGTCTTGACTTTAAAAGCATCAATACAAAGATAAATAGTCAAATACCCTCTGCTACCTGAACTACCCAATCTCCAACTGTCCATTCAATTCTCCTCTCCTTGAAATAACAGAATAAAATGGACTAAATATTTATTGAACTCCTACTATGTGCCAGGGCAGGCACCTTACACATATTATATTTCCTCATAACAATCTTATATAAGAACTGACCAAAGTTACACACTTGGTAGAAAAATGGATCTGGTATTCTAATCCAGGTCCATCTGATAGCAAGACCTTTGTTCTTAACCACCATACAGCACTGGAAAAATGGTGACTGGATCACTGAATCCCTGGAACCAAGCTAACCTTCCAGAAATTCTCTGAATTTGTGTGATTAGTGTGAGAGTGATCCTTTAGCATCTCTCCAAAGAACACTGCTCTCTAGTCAGGAGGGTTGCCAGTTAGCCAGCTTTGCCAGTACACTATCATTACTAGAACTAAAACTAGAACTCCCTGAGGGACACTAGTATGCAACATGTTGCGAATATTACCAACCACATCCAGGTTTAACTCATAGGGACATGAACGCCTAAGAAGTTTGTAAAATACATTGAAGAGTGCTTGACTAGAAGCTCTGGTCTTTAGCATCATAGGAAAATTTTAGCAAAAATACTTACTTAATTTGATGTTCACTTCCTTGCATATGGGACCGGAACATATCTAAAGATGTAAAAGCAATACTACAAATATGGCAAACATATGTTCTCATACTAAATGCTGAAAAAACAAAGAGTTCAAGTTAAGAAGGTCAGTATACATTTAAAATCACATAATGTTAGAACTGGACAAGAATTTATTAGAGACCATCTACTTGACATTTTCCAATAAAGATGGGGCCCAGAGAGGTCAAATGACTTTGTCAAAGTCACAGAGCAAGTTAGTAGTAGTGTTAGCCTCTCGGAGCCCACGCCTCTTAATTGAATGCCCAAAATTCTTTTCACTACACCACACTGCTTCTCTAGCTTAACTTCTTCCCTAAGAATCTGCTATCTGTCTACTGACTGTTGCTACATGGAGGTGCAACAGACACCTGAAATTTAGCATGGCCAACCAACCTTTGCCTCTGAATCTCTTAACCAACCTCTTTTTGTTTGCCCCAACTCTGTTTCCACCCAACCAAAACCTGAAACGTCCCAAAACATTAAAAACAAATAAAGGCAAATTTTTTACTCTCTTACCTGAGATCACTGCAGTGCCTTAGTTACCAAAAGTAATTTCCACAGATTTTAGAAAGGAGAGAGGTTCAGTGAGCCCCACTCTCAGGATAAAAGCTGAAAGCAAAATTCTAAAACAAAACTACTAGTTACCACTTCAAAAGAGTCAAAAACTATACACTAGCAACTATATAGTAACTAGCACACTATTCTGCTTCATAGGTAGAATTAGAAGCAAGGGATACATTAATTTTTTAAAAATCTCATCATCTTCCACTTTATCTTTGATCAGAAAAAGCAAATTAATACATTTCATAAGCCAAATATAAAATCATTCTGACCCTAGGGAGGAGTAAATAAATTGGTACCTGCAAAGACTTTAGGGACAACAATGGTAATCTTCTTTTAAACCAAAAGGTCACCTAATCATTTAAAAGAAGCTAAATTAATTATTATCAAGTATATTGGCCTTGTCTGAGCAAAGACTATTCATAGAAACAGAAGACCGCTTGCAAGGGGAAAGAAAGATGCTGACTTTGAAGAACGTGAGGTTGCACACTACTGACTATTGCGGGCCTAGGAAAACTCAGCAGGTTATGTCAAAATCTGAATGAAATGATCCCTCAAAACTATCCCTTTCTATGCTCTAATTTCATGTGTACTAAGTCGCTTTCTGATTATAATTGGTTTTTCATATTCTTTGATACCAACAAAAGGATACCCTGGATGACAGACATCAAGAAAAACTAGGAAATGGAAATATGTATCTCCTCTTACCATAAATCAATAACAGAATGACAATACAATAACTTAAAGTACAATGTTTCCCAGACTTCTGGGAAATCACCTAGGGTGTCAGTTAAAAATATAGATTCCCAGGCTCTCCCCTGGAGAACATGATTCAATGCTTCTGGGGCAGGGACAAGAAATTTCTATGATCACAAATATGGCAAATGATTATCACAGGCTTTGTGAGAAACATATTAAAGTAGTATCTTTCCAGTTAGTTTTTTATCAGCCACTTTCAAGTTTGTGGTTACTGAGTCCCTGATTTGAGGCTGATCAACTTGAAGATATTAGACTTCTTGCAAAGCTAAGGACTAAACCCAGGAGAGGACATATTCACAAAAACCTCTTTCAGGAAATTCTTACCATCTTTTACAGGTGCTGGGACTTAGGCTCAGATTAACTTTGCCAATACCATATATTTTGAGGGCACCCAAGTTGTGCAAGATAAGCAGGAGTCCTGGTTTCCTCTGGATTAGTGTTTCTCAATGCTGGTTACACATTAGAATCATATGGAAAAATTTAAAAATATTGATGTTACAGCTCCATATCAGACCAATTAAATCAGAATCTCTAGGAGTGGAATCAGGCATCCTTACTTTTTGAAAGCTTTACTTATGATTTAACTGTGCAGCCACTGTTGAGCACTTGCCCTAGATCAAGCTTGTCCAACCTGTAGCCCACAGGCCACATGTGGCCCAGGGTGGCTTTGAATGTGACTCAACACAAATTCACAAACATTCTTAAAACATTATGAGATTTTTATGTGATTTTTTAAACTCATCAGTTATTGTTAGCGTTAGTGTATTTTATGTGTGGCCCAAGATAATTCTTCCAGTGTGGCCCATGGAAGCCAAAAGATTGGACAACTCTACCCTAGATTATTGGGCCAATAATCTTCATTATGACTATAAACTCAGATTATATTTCAGAGTTTTTACATATTTATTTAATGCTTATAAAGTATACTGTATATAGTGTTCTCCTCAGTTCCTGCTTTGCTTCTCTACAAATTACATCAGAAATAATATTCTAATAGAGGTAATACAGAGGTTTAGAAGAGCTGCCAGTCATGTACTAAAGATCCAGAGGGGCATTTCTAGAACTGTAGTCTGATTACCATTACCTTAGCCCTTGGCTTTTTCACATATTGATGTTCTTTATCTTTTTATAGGATTCAGATATCTCAGAAAATGATATATAAAAGTTGCGTAAACCCTTTCTGTGAAGATATGAAACCTATTCATGGCCCCAAGGTCAGAATTCCTGATTGAATCCTCCTGGGACCTGCCTCCATTCTGTTTCTTATACTCTTCACTCTTTTATTCCAGAGACTACTCCACAGTTCTGTTCTGTTCTTGGCTGTTCTGCTCTCAGCCCTTCTAGGATTCGTTGTTTCTGAGTTCACCCAGAAACTCAGGCTCCTTTACAGCTTGTACCTTTCAGAATCTTCACTAACCTAAAACTTGTGGGGCCTACTCTTCCCCTAATCATACCCCTATCTCATAAGTCTCTGAACTAAGGTCTTTGTTTTCAAAGTATAAATTGGGAAAGTGCATGTCTAATACTATTTTCAATCTTGACTCCATATAAAAATCACTTAGGGAGTTAAAAAAGAGAAAACAAAACACGAATGTTAAATTCCCAGAGACGGTAATTTAATTGATTGGAGGGATGGCCTGAGCAATGGGAGGTCTAAAAGCTCCTCACATGATTCTAATTAGTCAAGGTTGAGAACCACTGGTCTAACATCTTAAATGGGGAAAAGCCAATTGAGAGCTGCACATAATCAAAACTGCAGCTATCAGAAAGAATAGCTAATGGATGCTGGGCTTCATATCTAGGTGATGGGATGATCTGTGCAGCAAAACCACCATGGCAAACATTTACTTATATAACAAACCTGCACATCTGCACATGTACCCATGAACTTAACATAAAAGTTGGAAAAAAACTGCATGTGAATATGGAATTTATGTTATAAAGAAAAATAGAAAACGTCCAATTTACCTATTTTAAAATTATGACAGGACAAAATATTTTTACAAACCTAACATTTGTTACAAACCTATTCTGTGATGGGTACTATATATACTACTTCAGTTAATTATTATTCAATCCTGTAGAGTTACATTATTTTCATTTTATACCAGAGGAATCTGTGGTGCAACTTGGCAAGTGACTATATCTCCAAATCTATGTTTATCCCTCTATACAACACTGCCTCTCAAAAAACAATTTGCAAATATGAATTGAGAAAAAATTATGTCCTCATTACCATATAAAGCACTAAGAAGGATACTGCAGAATAAAATATAATCCTTTGTCTCAGGGAAGCTAATTCCCTTGAGGGGCTATAACTGATGCAATTGTCAATGAACAGTAAAGCCTATGAGAAATCAGAGAAAGGAGAGAATACAAAGAACCAGAACAGTAAGGGAAGTTGTGATGGATCTTTGAGGACAGAAAGGATTTGAATTTGTAAGAAAGCAGGTAAGGGCATTTCTGGGGATGAAAATAATTTCCTGTATGGCAGAGATAGAAATGAGCACAATATGTTGAATCCAAATAATCGGTTTAACAAACACTGAATACCTTTGTGGCACCAAGCATCAGGTTAGATGCCAGGGATACAAGATAAATAAAACAGCCAAGTTGTTCACAAATCCAGTGTGAGAAAGATACATGAACAAAATATTTCAGTCTCACTTGGTAAAAGTAAGAGAGGTATGTTTAAGAGGTATGCAAGCACAAAGAAGCAGGAGCACTTAGCATACTATGGGGGTCTGAAAAAGGCTACTGGAAGAGATAATGTCTTAGCTAAACTTGGAGGGATGATGAATAGTTAACCTGAAAAGAGTTGAGAAGAGTGTTTTAGGGACAAAACTTCATGAAAATAGCATAGAAGTGTTTACACGAACTTCTTAAACTTTGGAATTGTTGTAGAGTAAAACATAAGGGAAAGAGATGGGAAGAGGCAAAATGGGTCAAAGAAAGACTTATATGTTATGCTAAGGAGCCCGAATTTTTTATTCTGTGCTTTGGGAAACCTCAAAGTGTATTAAGTGACGTGGTTGGTCAATTGTGTGTTTTAGATGAGTCTCTTCTGTGGCTGCAATACAAAGGATTAATTTAAGAAGAGTAAGCCTAGAAGTAAGGAGATCAGGCAAGACATAATGAAAACATGGACTAGATAGGTCTCAGTAGGGGTAGAGAGAAGCAGGGAGATTGGCATAACATTTAACTTTAAAACTGGCAAAAGTTAGTGACGGAATGAATGTGAGGGATAGTGGAGAGGAGAGAATCTAGAGAAGTCTAAAATAATTCCCAGAAACCTAATTTGGTAAGTGGGTGGGTGGTGATCCCATTAACTGAAATTGGAACTTCAGATGTATGTGTTGTTTTAATGGGTGGGAGAGTAGGCAATGGTGAATAGTGTAAGTTTGAACACAGGGTCTAAGATATCTACAAAACTTTCATGTAAAGGTGTCCAACAGGTAGTTATATACAGGAGTATGAAAGGCAGAAGATAGGTCAGAGAGATTTTGGAGATGTCAGAACATGCGGGTGGATAGTCAAAATAATCAGAGTGGATGAAATCTCCTGAAGATAATGTATAGGTGGGCACAGGAATAGCAACATACTGATAAAACCCTGGAGAATGCCATTCTTTAAAGAAAGATGGTGGAAAAAGATGAGCCTATGAAAAGTCCACCAAAGCAAAGGACAGCAAATTATAAGAATGAACAGGAGAGAGTGATGTCAAAGGAGCTAAAT